CAGAGTCTCACTCTGTTGCCCAGGCTGGAGTGCAATGGCACAATCTCAGCTCACTGCAACATTTGCTTCCCGGGTTCAAGCGATTCTCCTGCCATAGCCTCCCAAGTAACTGGGACTACAGGCAGCTGTCATTACACCTGGCTAATGTTTTTGTATTTTAGTAGAAACGCGGTTTCACCATGTTGTGCAGGCTGGTCTCAAACTCTTGAGCTCAGGCAATCCTCCCACCTCAGCCTCCCAAAATGCCAAGAGTGAGCCCCTGTACCTGGCCTGAAGATTCATTTTTTAGAATGTATCCCCATCATTAAGTGACACATGACTGTGTATACACACACACACATACACACATAAGTGTAGCTGTGTACATACATTTATTTATTTTCCTTCATTTTAAAGACAGGGTTTCACTCTGTCACCCAGGGTGGAATGCAGTGCAGTTACAGCTCACAGCAGCCTTGAATACTTGGGCTCAAGCAATCTTCCCTCCTCAGCCTCCCATGTAGCTGGGACTGCATGTGTACCCCACCATGCCCAGTTAATTTTTTATAAAATTTTTGTAGTGGCTAGGTGCAGTGGCTCATGCCTGTAATCCCAGTGCTTTGGGAGGTTAAGGCAGGTGGATTCTTAAGCTCAGGAGTTCGGGACCAGCCTGGGAAACACAGCAAAACCCTGTCTCTTCAAAGGAAAGGCTGCATGTGGTGGTACACGCCTGTAGTCCCAGCTACTCTAGAGGCTGAAATGGGAAGAGAACAATGGCTTGATCCTGGGAGATAAAGGCTGCAATGAACAGAGCATGGGCCACTGCACTCCAGCTTGGGTGACAGAGCAAGACCCTGTCTGGAAGGAAGGAAAGAGCAAAGGAAGGAATGAAGGGAAGAAGGAATTATTTTTTGTAGAGATGGGATTTCCCTATGGTGCCCAGGCTGGTCTCAAACTCCTGGCCTCAAACAGTCCTCTCACCTCATCCTCCCTAAGTGCTGAGATTATAGGCATGAGTGACTACACCCAGCCTTAACTTACTTTAAAAAAGCATTGACTTACAAAAAGTCGCAAAATAGAACACAGAATTCCCATATGTCCAGGTTCCCTAATATAACAACTTATATAAGTATACCTTAATTATCAAACCAGAATATTAGCAATTGTTTGCAAAATGTCCTTGTTCTGTTCCAGGGGACCAAATCTAAGATCCCCCTTTATATTTAGCTGTCACATCCTCTTAGTTTTCTGTCTGTGACTGTTTCTTTGTCTTTCAAGACCGTGGCCCTTAGAAGAGTACTGACCATTTATTTTGTGAAATGCCTGTTAGTTTTAATTTTTCTGATGTTTTCTGAAGATTTGTTTGAGGTTATGTAGTTTTTGCAAGAATATCAGAGAAGTGATGTTGTACCCTTCAAAGTGCATCCTATTAAGAGGTTCATAACACCCATATGTCTTATCACCAATGATGTTAACTTTGTTCCCATAGCTGAGAAGTTGTCTGCCAGGTTTCTCCACTGGAAAATTATTTTTTTGGTCTAGGCTCATTGATACACATCTTATGGGAAGATATGTTGAGAGTATGATCATCTTTTTTCCTTTCCTTTTTTTTTTTTTTTTTTT